TGTGTGTGTGTGTGTGTGTGTGTGTGTGTGTGTGTGTGTGTGTGTGTGTGTGTGTGTGTGTGTGTGTGTGTGTGTGTGTGTGTGTGTGTGTGTGTGTGTGTGTGTGTGTGTGTGTGTGTGTGTGTGTGTGTGTGTGTGTGTGTGTGTGTGTGTGTGTGTGTGTGTGTGTGTGTGTGTGTGTGTGTGTGTGTGTGTGTGTGTGTGTGTGTGTGTGTGTGTGTGTGTGTGTGTGTGTGTGTGTGTGTGTGTGTGTGTGTGTGTGTGTGTGTGTGTGTGTGTGTGTGTGTGTGTGTGTGTGTGTGTGTGTGTGTGTGTGTGTGTGTGTGTGTGTGTGTGTGTGTGTGTGTGTGTGTGTGTGTGTGTGTGTGTGTGTGTGTGTGTGTGTGTGTGTGTGTGTGTGTGTGTGTGTGTGTGTGTGTGTGTGTGTGTGTGTGTGTGTGTGTGTGTGTGTGTGTGTGTGTGTGTGTGTGTGTGTGTGTGTGTGTGTGTGTGTGTGTGTGTGTGTGTGTGTGTGTGTGTGTTCACAACTCATTTTCAACTAAAGATAGCACATGCAACAACATCCATGGTAGAATCATCAAGATTCCTTCAACATGCTTCCAACACTCAAAACTCCACCTTTCATCATACAATCCAAAAAATTCAACATACACAACCACATTTTAATAGCAATCAAGCAATATGCAAATCATACAACTCAACACAAATAAGGTTCTAATTTCTCTTATCTCAACTCCAAGCAGATAGAGGAAGAAGAAGAACTAGCTTCGAGCTTCTTCAAGGAAACTCCTCACGATAACACCCCAGATTCACGATTCTAAAGACTTGAATCAATAAACACAACTAATTAAACTTTGGGGAAAGAATTCACCATCTTAAAAGAAGGTTCAAAGATAAAAAGAAACTCACAAACTCCATAAAGCTTCTCTCTAGCTTATCTCTCTAAAAATTTTAATAACTGAATTTATGTGGGTTAATTATTAAAAGAAACCTTACAAACTTCTCCTTTCAGATTCAAATTAAACCTCTATTTAGAAAAATCTTTTAAAACACCTAAAGACTTCTAAGAAATTTCTTAACTCCTAAAGTTTCTCAATACTATACCTCAAGACATTACAAAACATAGTTATCATTAAAAGATAACAATTAACAAAAAAAACTATAGTGTTATAATAATAGTTAAAAATGATTTTATATCATAATATATAAAATATTTTTTTTATATAAAATGTTCATGTTAAAATATTAGTTAAATAAAAAATAATAATTTTATATGATTGATGGATATTATTTTTGCTAGTTATGGAAATAGAATGTAATATATAAACTTAAAAGTGAGAAAATAAATAATATTAAAAATATTTAATTGATTGTTCAAAAAACTATGTTTAACTGAGAGAGTAAATAGAATAAGTATTGTATTGTATATTCTTATTTTTAATATATTTAAATATATTTTTAATTTCTATAATATATCATTATTTTGATTTTGACTTTTGTAAAATGATTTATTTTATAATTATCCCTGTAAATTTTTTTTTTTT